CTCCCGCAGCCGGAGCCGACGGTACTCCGGAGGGGGCTCGCGGGACAGTCGGCGCCGTTCCAGGTCCTATTCTCCCGACCGGGGGTATCGCTACAGCTCCCGCCGCCGCTCCAGGTGAGCCAGGAGAGAGGAGATGGGGCACCTGCAAGGATGGAGGATCCCCCAGCCCCATCGCAATGTTTGATTTCCCCCTCAAGTTTCCCAACTTGTGGCCATTTCTCCTGTTTTTCACTGGGCTCCTGCCAGGTTAATTCAGCTCAGTTCTCTCTACAACCTACCGTTTAGCTGTAGGCAGCAATAAGACCCTGTTTTGCCACCTCTGAGTAAGCCCGCATCTCTTATGCCCTGTTCTCCAAACTGGTCCCTGTATCTAAAAGGAGTCTTGCAAGTGCTGGCTGAAGGGGAAAAAATCCAATCTCTCACTATGCTAGTTGGTGGCTTTGGCACAGGCGCTCGTTGCTGGCGCTGGGGCAATGTGTGGTCCCCCAGGCTCTTCCCTGCTCAGTGCTGTCAGCCCCAGCCCGTCTTGTTGCAGGATGGGTCTTGTCCGGGGGTTTTCCTTTGCCCTGTGGCCCCGTTGCTACCAGCTGCTTTGGGAAGAGCTGATTCTCCTCAGAGAGCTGTATGTGATTCCCAGCTCCCTCCCTGCAGGAGCCGTTCCAGATCCGGGGAGCGCTACCGGCGGGGTGGCAGGTCGAGCAGACACTGGAGCAGCAGCCCGAGCAGCCGAAGCCCCAGCGATTCACGAAGCCGCAGCAAGTCGGTGTCTCCAGTGAGAGAGAAACCGCTGAGGCCTGCAGCATCCCCAGCCGTGGGGGAGAAACTGAAAAAGTGAGTGAGGAAAGCTGCAAGGAGAGCGGCTGCGTTGCCTTGCGCAGCAGCCAGATGCCCCACTTCTTCCCACGCAGCGGGAGCGGGGCAGAGCTCAACCCTCAATGGGCACCAGAGAAAGCAAATATCATCTGGAGCATGAGCGGCTCTTGGCAGAGAGGCTTGTCCTGTCTGTGCTGATCCCGGCTCTTTTTTTTTTTCTTTCCCCTGCTCTTAGGGCTGACACTGCTGCTGGTAAAGAGACAGGAGCTGCCAAAGTCAGTAAGAATTTAACCTCACCTGTTTAATTCACATCACTGCAGAACAGACTAAGGGACACAGTAGTGGACGGGCTGGAGGAGGTGCAGGGATTTGGCAGTGGCCCGGGCCCCCTGCCCCCCGCCCCCGCCTCTGCCGGGCGCAGGCACTGCTCGAGCCTGCTCCCCCTTGGAGCTCAGGCTTGCTGGGTGCCAGCGCTTCAGACGAGAGCGGGGCACAGAGCAGTCCGAGCTCTAGGGGCAGTGGGGAAGTCCCAGTCGGGGTGGGGGAGTCAGAGATGGGACCTTTCTGTCACCTTCCTCAGCCGGGATCCTGGCCGCAGCTGGCGCAGGGTGGGGATGCCAATGTGCTGCGCGGCTCAGCGGTGTCTGTGCAGGTCACGAAGCTGGGAGCTGCCTCCCTCCTTTCCTAACTGCCCCAGGCTGTCTCTGGGGCGCTGTCACCCAGCCGGTGGCCGTCTCCACACCTAGCGTGTCCCCGCCGCTGCTCTGTGGAGCAGAGGTGATGGCACGTGGTCGGGGAGCCGTTACTGCCCTCGGAGGGAGGTGTCTGTGCTGCCTGCGGGGTGGTGGTGGGCTCGGGGCAGGGCTATCCTCTCTGGCTCTGTCCCTGCGCAAATCTCTTCCGTGTGGCTTCGGGCCGTGCCCAGATCCCCCCAGCCGCTGTCCACGCGGCCTCGCACAGATCACCCCATGCCTGGGGTCCCTGCATGCGGAGGGCACCCCGTGGCTGTGCCCGGGCAGGCTGAGGTGGGTGCAGATGCCACCTCCCAGGGCTGTGCATGCTCCTCTGGGAGGGCCTGGCAGGGAGCAGCTCATATTTGCAATGCCATTGTCAACTGTGAACTGTCATCTTTGTCCCAGCAAGGTGCGCGGGCAACAAGTTAGGTCCCCCTTTGCTCAGGGACAGTTGGTGCCAGGCGGCCAGCTTGCTGTGGGGGACAGTTCTGGGGGCTCCATCCTGGGTGCAAACAAAGACGGCTCGCGGCAGGCACAGCCCTGGGACCGTCTTGCAGCCGGCTTCTCTGCCCACCCTTGGGAGATCTTTTAGCTTCCTGCCAGGCTCTGCAGCCCCTTTTTTTCCTGGCTCTCCAGCCTGCCTGGCAGCTCCCCAGGGCTCAGAGCCCTGCTCAGGCCCCTGCGGGCAAAGAGACGCCTGGGTTGTGGGCTCTGGAGCCGGCAGCAGCTCCAGCAATAGAGCCAGCAGGGCAGACGGGGTTCAGAGGAGGGCCTGGATCAGAGGGATCGGCTGGAGAGGAGGTGGCACCATCACCTCGGCGAGGTGGGTGGCTCCAGCGATGCCTCTGGCAGGGAAGGCGGACCCAGCTCCGAGCCCTGGGCCATGGGACGCTGCTTGGAGCCAGAGGTTCAGAGCTGGGGTTTTTGGTTCATACATCCAGCCAGTGATCCAGCTGCCGCAGGATCTCGCTGAGACCACGGCCAGGCACCTTGCGGATCCTTTCAAGGTCCGCTGCGGTGAGGGCAGGGGAAGGCAGGGAGACTTTCGGCCCCAGGGTTGATCCCCTCGTATGCTGGCCCACGAGGTGTCTCGCCTCCTCCTCTGGGGCCGGGAGCCCCGGGCTGGTCCAGTCTGGCTGCACCGTGTCCTCGTGCGCCCCTTCACACGTGGCTCTGCTTTCGCTCGCAGCCCAAGCTGACGCCGCAGGAGAAGCTGAAGCTCCGCATGCAGAAGGCGCTGAATCGGCAGTGTAAGCAGGACCAGCTCCCTCTGGCTGGCGCGTGCTGCTGGGCTGGGCCCTGGCACCTCTCTCACGCCCTCACTGACCCCTTCTCTCTCTTTCTTTGCAGTTAAAGCTGACAAAAAGGCAGCACAGGAGAAGATGCTACAGCAGGAACACGAGAGACAGGTAGGGGTGGATGTGGCTGAGCCCATCTCCAGCACAACTGGCTGTCGGGGATGGAGGTTTTTCAGGGCAGGGTCTAAGGGCACGTTTTCTCTTGCAGGAGCGCGAAGACGAGCTGCGGGCCATGGCGCGGAAGATCCGCATGAAGTAAAAACCCTTTTCCTTCCCTTTTTCCACTCTCCGGGCGGCTCCAGGCAGGGCAAGGCCTCGGGGTTAACCCTCCTTTCTCCACAGGGAGAGAGAGCGGCGTGAGAAAGAGCGGGAGGAGTGGGAGAGGCAGTACAGCAGGCAGAGCCGGTCTCCGTCCCCGCGATACAGTGAGTACCAGGCTCAGAAGTGGGATTTTAGTAAATACAGTAGGGGAATCGGACCCCCAAATGCCGCAAATGTGTACGGAGTCAGGGCAAAGAGCTTAAAAGCCGAGCTGCCAGCTTTACCCAAGTGACAGAAGAGAGCGTAGCAGCGGGAGAGTACCTGGGTTTACAGTGTAAGAGCGCGTGGATTTGGGTGGAGAGGAGCCCTGCGCTGTCCCTGTGAGAGGGGATGGCAGCTGAGGGCTCACGTGGTGCCGCCAGCCCCGAGCCGGGCAGTGGGGAGGTGGAAAACAGGGAGAGGGAGTCTCAGCTGTCCCCAGAGACTGGCGCGGTGCTTCCAAAAAAAGCGATGGAGAATTGTTGGTGCTTGTAGTAGTCACAGAACTATTACCTTTAACCTGAAAATGACTTAAACCCGATTTTAAATCCTTCCTTGTGGTGGGAGGCTGCCAGCGTTGGCTGTTTTGAAAGGGATTAGAAATGGGGCCACCGGGGTTTGGAAGGGACTAAGCAGGGCTCTGCCCCCTGTGAGCCTTTTTAGGAAGAGAAAAGGGGACTGATGGAAGAGAATAGGTGAAAGCACCTCATCTTGAGGGGAAATGGGTGGAAAATGGCCACTGGCAGGGCCTGGGAGCACCCACCCCTTCCCCGAGGTGTGCCAGAGCCGTGGGTGCTGCCTCACTCATGTCTCCCTTGCGTTGCAGGTCGGGAATACAGCTCCTCGAGGAGGTATGTTCGCGTCTTCCCCGTCCCACGCGTGCGGCTGGCCTCAGCCGTGGCGCTCTAGGTCCCCAGCGTGGGCTAGGGGGGCCGCAGAGCCCGTTTCTACGCAGCCCATCTCCCCCTCTCCCTTCGCAGGCGGTCCCGGTCCCGGTCGCGGAGCCCTCACTACCGCCACTAACAGCCCGGCTCCGGGAGACGCTGTACATTGCTGGTTTTGTTCATTATGTGCCGTTATCAAATAAAGAAGGAAATCCCTCCCCGCGCCAGCAGTTTCTAGGGCCTCGGCTGGGCGCAGCCGACCTCCTCCAAGCCCCGCTGTTTCACCCAGTGGGACTTGGCACTCGGGTGGCTGCACCAGGCTGCTCCAACACAGGGAAGGAGGATGACACCCCTTGGGTGCCCTGCGTGGGCTATTCCCTGCCTATTCCAGGTGATTTTCCACCTTATTTCTCCATTCTGGAAGCTTCGTGGGGAAGGGGGGCGAGCTCTGTGTCCCACCATCTGCCCTAAGGATGGCGCCAGCACCCCACGCGCTCGAGGGGTCCCAGGGAAACGCGAGGCAGCGAGCGAGCGCGAGGTTTTATTCGAGGTCGAAGGTGTAGGCGATGATGTCGGCGCAGCGGAGCAGGGCCTCCTTCTGCACGCCCAGCGGCGTCTGCAGCTCCGACACCTGGAAGTTGAGCACGTCTATGTCGGAGGCGCCGAAGACGGCGGCGACGCTCACCCGCTCGTACATGGCGAAGCGC